CTAGGAATTATTTTGGGGAAGTTCTATGGCCTGTGTTACACAGGAGGTCAGCTAGATGATTACAATGGTCCCTTCTGGCCTTGAAATCTATAAATCTATGAAAGTGCTTGTCTATGACTAAATGAGAATGGCAAATTCCTTTGGATACAAGCATATCTGCATATTGACTTGCATATCTGCATATTTTCTTAGAACTTTCTTAGAAAAAAGGGAACCTAACTTGTTATGTGTTACTAAAGTGAAAAATTCTAAAATAGTGCAACCTACTGAAAACCTATCTGAAGTAATTAGTAATGTATTCTTGCAGCGCCTGATCAATTGCAATTGCTACTGCACTTACAGGATCAGCGAAATTTTTTTACAACCTGCAAACAGTCTCTTAGGCAGGATAACAGTATGATTTATTGAAGTCTATCTAGATGCCATTTGTTCTGCTAGATTCTGGTCCTTTATGCAAATATAAAAACATAGTCTTTTTCTGAAACTCAAACAGCATTTCTCCCATATGTCCTCTCTACAGCCTTCTCTAAGCAAGCACCACAGGAACTAACACAGAGAATAGATGGAACTGCCTGCCTGTTAGAGTTCAGACACTTCGAACACTGTACAGTTGAAGCAGAGAGTCAGTTATAAAGTTTGAATGTGTTTTACAATGAATCACTTAGCTACTTATTGGAAGTTCTTGCCTACTGAGGTACATCCTAGAAACCTAGAAAAAATGGACAGGAAAGGAGGGTTGGATGCTAGCCTCAGATGGTCAGTATAAGCTTTCTGAAAGGAAAGCTCTATAAAATTTCTGTGCACAACACTAGACAAATTAAATCCTGCGTTAGGAGGGTACAAGTAATGGCCTCAATTTTGCAACGAGATCCTTTGGAGCATATTCCTGTGCTTGTGTGGAGCTCACTGCAGGAACTGGGTCAAATATACTTACCTGGAAAAACTATTCCTATTTAAAATTAGATAATTAATTACCAAGGTGCTAACTACACAGATTTTTAATAATAGACAACAGATTCAAATAATGATTTGATTTGTTTTACTAAAAATGCACTGAGCATGATCTTATATTAAAATGATTTTGTAACTGATTAATAATGTATTTTGCAATATTCTAATGATTTAGAATGCAACAATTATGATGGCTTTTTACCTCATCTGGAGAGGAGTAATGCTATCATTGCTGTATATTAAAGGCAATCACATATATTGAATGCCTTTAACTGTACAAATAGTGAGGAAAGCAGGTACTGCTGAAAAATCATATGAAAGTCATCGTATTTCCAACCAGAGTTAATATTGCTTGAAAACCTGGCTATTAAGGACCTTAAGCAGTTCAGATGAGTTCTGAGTGTGAGGTTTAGGTTCATAAATAATTATTTATGTAGCAATAATCTTCTCCACGTATCACAAATAAACTCTGCCCTCAAGCAGGCAGCAAGTAAAGCTTAGCTAAAACTATTAAAAAGTGCAATGTCAATAAAGGGCTAGAAGCAGATAATGCCCTGGAAGTACTGTACAGCTTGTTGATGTTGCAAATGAGTTGAAAGTATGTTGTTGTGTTTAAATCTAGAACAACATATTCACTTTGTTGCAGTATATTTACTACACAGTCACTTTGTTGCTTCTGTAGGCTGAGTCCAATGCGCACACCAGGGGCTCTTTGCATCTCCCCACACCCACCACAAGCTCCACGTGTACCGAACACCCAACCTTTCTATTAGAGGGATTCCCTGCAACTCTCCACCTACCTCAACTAAAAGCAACCTCAAAGCTACTCTAACTTGTGCTCAGACTGCCCATATTCTGTAAGAGCTGTGAGCAGCTGAGAACAACAAGAGAGTATTGCAAGAGCAATGATGCCCTGGCTGCACCGTGACCTCAGACTTGGTACATCCTCTGACTCAGATGCTGCATTTGCAGTACAGAGGGAAGCAGTGTTATAGAACCACCCCAGCCCAGGGATCCCCCTCCTGATGACAGTGACATTCCCCAGAATGTGGGGATGTATTCTGAACCCTCTACACTTACTGATGCAGGGGGCCCAAGGGCAACAGACAACACTTCCAATTATTCCCACTTCAGTAGCATCAAAGTAAACATTTGCTGGTCTGATTTCACAGCCCTTTTCAGGCAAGTCTCACTAAAGTCAGTGCGAGCTGAGATTGATTCTGGAACTGCTAGATCAAGCCTACCTAAAATTTATTCTTTATACCGTAAAAGGCATGCTGCTTTTTGCTCAAGGTTCTGTTATCACCTCGATATTGATAGACTATTTTCTCCTCTTAAGAATAGTTCCATTATTTAACAAGGTTTAAAAGTTCAATTTACTGGGCATAATTCTGATCTCAATTTCTCAAACCTAACAGGCATCTCCACTGTTATAAAGAAGGTAGTATGGTGTAGTTGGGAGCAGAATTTGGTCCACATAACAGTAATCCGTAGAACTGCTCTTTTTCTTTTTTAAAAAAAGATACCACAATTGCTCCACATTTTTCCTTGGCTGGAACTAAGGAACAATGTGGGGTGTCCTGATGTGGATGCTCACACATTGAAATTGCACTTTCCTTACTTTTAAAAAAAAACAAACCTACCAGTAGTCCAGTAAGTTTGTTAGTTAATTCCCTTAAGAAGTTTGCAGTGCATAGTAACTGTACTGGCTGATTTCTACAGATACTAATGTTCACATTGGTTTCCCTTTATTAACAAGGTTTTTATTCTTTCTGAATTCTCCAAAGCCTCTGTTTTATTTTTCTTGCTAAAGGCTAGGTTTTTATAACAAAGTCAATTCAGTAGCTCAGCCAGTTGAGAGTCACCATTAATGTCATTCCCTCCTCATTTATTAATGGGTCTACTACCTCTCCAGTATTTCTTTTCTTCCCCATGACATAGTTGTAAAAGCCCTTCTTGTTTCCTTTTAGCCAGCTTCATTTTCTGCAGCCCTTATCTATCTTTCTTTAAAAAAAAGTTAAGATGAATTAGATTTCCACCCAACGCTGCAACATCGAGGATCATTTTAAATAAATCATTTTCCATTACCTATTTACTATAAATCTACCTAAAACCAAAGTTAACAAATGAATCACAATAACACTTTCCTCCCAAAATATGCCAGACTTGTGATGACTTTTTTAAACTCAAAAGATGACTCTGTTAACACCTCCAATGCCATGTGCTTCTGCATGCCCAAGGCTACGCTTTGTGAAGCCTTCCCATTATTTTTAATGAGTAGCCAGGACCTACACAGTGTACGTCCACAAGACCACAGAAGTGCCCCTTTGTTGCCTGTGCATCATAGATCCTAAGTGTGTGAAAAACTTAAAAGGAATGCTGCTGCTTTTTAAAAGATTTCCATAAAGACAGGTGATAATTTCCTCCCTTTGTCATTAGCTAGTATCCACTTCTCCACAAGTAATTCAGGCAGTAAGCTACTTTAAAAAAACTAAATTAAATTAAATTAAATTGCTGGCAAATTCCAGTCTCAGTGTTTGTTAGATATCTAGCCAGCCAAATGATGCAATAGCCTGCATCCATTATGCATTCTTGAAGGAGGCGGCCAGTAAATCAGGATGCTTGCTGTGGAGACTGTCTAGTGAACTGTGCAGAGATATGCCCAAGTCCTTCAGGGAGAGGGGACATTTTCAGCCTCTCACATGCTATTCCAATAGGTTTTAGGATTTAACTAGTTTTCCTTTTGAACTCTCCAGTTTAAGGACACCCATGTACAGGGAAACCTTCACTTGAGAGCCACATAACTTTATGTCAAACAATTATCTGTCTGCAATTGTCTCCTTGCAGTGACCACAAATCTTCCTCATCTATTTTCACACACTTACATTTTATCCTTTTATTCCCTATTCCATATTTGTCTGCATTTCAGCCCATCCCCTCTCATTGCCAGAGGGGAGAAAAGCTGGTATTTTCCAGGACTTTCTGATGTGAAATGTCAAATGCCCTGCTTGTTACAAGCAAATTTGCATTGTTACAATGGTCTTTGAGAATAACACATCCCCCCCACAGGCCTACCCCATCATTAGAGAAACAATCTGATCAAGTCAGTTCACTGGAGGGATTTGTCTTCCCTTCTTTGGAATTGTTCATCTATATCAGTCCTTTTATGTCCATTTTACAGGTCTCCTTTGTTCTTTCAAATGCCTCACTGCCAGGGCTGCTGATCATATGCACTAAGCACATGCTAGCATACGGGCTGTTTACAAAATGTGTGTGTATATATGACCAAAAAAAAAAAAATACCTTCCTTCTTGACAAATAAAATTGCTATGAGTTTGGAAACCTCCACAGTACACCTTCTGTTTTCTGGGCCAGATCTTTAGCTGATGTAAATCATTATAGCTCCATTGCCACCGGCTGAGGATCTGACCCACAATCTTGAAAGTTTTCTTGATGCCTTTATGGGTCAAATTATGATCTCAGATGCACAGGAGTAAATCTGGAGTAACTCCATTGACAGCAAATGAGTTATTCAAGTTTTACACTAATATAACAGAGAGTCAAGGAACATTTCTTATGTCTTTTATAAAGGAAACAAGTTCCCCTGGGCTGATTTTCCACTGCTCAAATCTCATTTGCAAGCAGTAGGAAGAGTTTAGTCCATCGCAAGCTGTTGTAAACATGCCTGTCATATTATGAGCAAATGCCTTACTGGTCTGAGAAGACTTTTGGCCAGTTATATAAAAATCATATACCCCTTAATGGATTGGTGGACAGTTAACACAGACATACATGCACATCATGTTATTTATCACATAATACTGTGCACACGTACATACATACATAGATCTTCACAAAGTGATAACATGATGTGCTTTAATGTAATCAAAAAGGGGCATTCTCAACATTTTAGGACAAATATGGTGCATCTCTAGGATGGCAATATAGGGTAATTCTGCATTTCAGTGATCTAGTGAAGACCAGAAAAGTTTGTGGACTGGTAGTGACATCAAGACACACAGTACTACGGAAGAATAAAAGACACTCACCTTAAGAAGTTCATAATGCTGAATGCCATTCACTCCAATGTCAGGATCAATGGCCGAAGGGACTGAATAGCGGGAATTAATGGCTGTGTTCTCAGGGATGGAGATGTTAATGACTGTTGAGGGGAAAAGGGGAGCATTGTCATTGATATCCTCTATCAGGAATCTGATCTTGACCAATCTGAAGACTTCATCAGGCAAAACTGCTACCTCCACCTCATAAAAGCAGCGGTTCTCACTAAAAATGCCAGAGCACAGCTTCTCCCGGTCTATGCGGTTTGCAGTCGTGAATATCTCACCGGTGTTTTCCTCCACCCGGACTAATGGCACATCCCCAGTCTTATACACAAGCTTAAACTGAAGAGGTGATGAAAGGGGCACATCCGGGTCCAGTGTCAAATTCAGATCCTTGAGCAAATTGCCAATCAGGACATTTTCCGGCAGTTCTTCCCTCACAGTATAATTCTTCTCTTGGGCACCAGATTGAAATACAATGCAGGCTAATAAGACTGCCAAGAGGTAGGTTCCAGACAGCAAGTCCATCTCCAGAATGGCTAATGAGTTCTCCTGAAGAACACCAAGAGTAGCTGTAAAAAGGAAAGAAAGAAAGAGATTATTAAAAAGCCCTAAAGCAGTATGCCAGCCAAACAGTGGAAATGCGAAAGCCAAATGATTTGAGAATTGTTGCAAAACTAGGTCAATGAAATGCTATCTTTTACTGTGACCATTGTTAAATAAAACGAACAGCAATAAGGAGATAATCCCTTATATCTGCTTTTTTCTGTTCCCACTTCATAAATGTTGAGTTCAGAATGTGAAGAATGGATCCTCCAAAAATATTAGAGTCCCTATGAGAGTGTGTTCTTCCCACTCTCTGCTCCCAAAGACAAACCCTCCTTTCCAGCCCTCCCTCAGCCACATTGGCACTCATCTTTCTCTCATTCCCAACTCCTTGATCTCATTCCCTAGTGAGACAGCCAAGCCAACCTCATCCCACCCCAGCAAGTGGTTTGCAAGCAGGCATCAGCTGTCTGCCACCTGCTGGGGTGGGCTAATTCATTTCTGCATATGGACCTCTGCAGACCACAGAGCTGGGATACAAATTGTACTACTCTTAATCCACCTCTGAATTTTGCACAACTAAAACTACATGACAGCTCTAAGCATTAAAATGTTCTATCATCTAATATAGCAATTCACACGGGCAAGGAAAACTAATCAAAATGATGTCTGAAGAACTTTGGCCAACAACTGATGGAAAGTCCAACTACTATCACAACACACAGCAACCAGACCACTTCAGAACCAAGGAAGGACTTGATCCAAAAACTATTGAAGACAATGAAAACACTGCCACTCATTTCAGGGGGCTTTGGATCAGGCCCCAAAAGAGCAGTAATCAAATCACACCAATGTTCTATGTGCTAGCCTGGGTGCTCCTCTTTCTGCTTCAAATTTTTAAAGCTCTTATTGGGGCACAAATCTAGGACCAGTTGTCATGAACTAAGCTACTACACACCAGCAAGATGAGTCTCCTAATGGGTTCAGTCCCAGATATGCTGAGAACCTTGTCAGATAACGTCCATACTGGACACTTGCCATGGAGGGAGTTGTGATTTTTCTTCTTTGGTAGGGGTTGATCTCACCCTGTGATCAATGGCTACCTTTACTATGCTGGAAAATCAGCAACAGGGCATTTTTCACTGTATTAAAGTAATTCTAAATCAGGTCAAATTTGAGTCTAAACAACCTGCCAATGTTCCTTCCTCTTAAATACGCTGATGATATTCAGTGAAACTTAGTTCATGGCATCAGTACTAGAAAAGGACACGTATGTGTTTCAGGGAGAAGGAGAAGAACATTCAATACCATTCTGCCTGTTTTCTGAGCTGCACACAAACCGTATGCTGTATATACAAACATAGATGCCTTGAAAACCGCAGACTTGTGGGGGAGGGAGAAAGGTGATTATCTTTAGTTTCAGTATGGATGAATCCCTCCAGCAGAGTAAATTTCAGGAAAATTATAAAAGGTAGAGGTCTCCAGTTGTGGAATACAATGTGACACTACATCAGTGTACACTATCTTACCACTCTTGGTAGAAGCATCTGCTTCTCTGCAGCTCCTGACCTCTGGTACAGCCTTCCTATGGGCAAGACACTCAGCTGGCATCAATTTAAAATTAACTTGTGAAGTCAGTGGAACTACTTCAATTTACAACACCTAACGATCTGGTCATCTACATCCCCCTTACCGACTCAACTGCATCTCTTCTTAATGTTCATATATATAAAAAAAGATGTTTCTTTCCTTGCTCTCCTAATTTTATTCTCCTTCTGGGTTCTGTATGATTTAACACCATACATTTCATCCCAAAATGCTTTCCATGGAAGATGCATCACAAAATAAGTACCTGATCATGCAAATCTTTACATACCCAAGAAGACATTATTCCCTATTAATTGCTTTGGGGCTACTCAATGAGTGAGGATTTGCAGGATTGGATATTAAGTTCATGTTGCATAGTACTATATTATCTGCAGCAGTCTGATAATTCAGTGTAAGGTTTAATGCAACAATACACAGGCATTCAGGAGTGAAGGAAAAGTATGGTACAAGCAGTCATTTTAAAAATCCATTGTTAGGGAATATTAATGCACTTTTGAATATATAATTAAGCAAGTTATCAGCAGCTCCCAATGATCAGTAACAGTAACAGTATTGTAGTATATGTATTTGATGACAGGATTCTGATAATACCATATAAATATACTACTATGGATATTGCACTATTTTTATACCTGAGCATGTACTATATTAATGACAAGCTACCACCAAAAATCCTCACATCCTGTTAAAGGAAACACACACGCACACACAGAGCAATACAAAGAAATTAATTCAAGAAATAAATGAGGGGTTTTTTTATTTTATTTTCACTATAGCTGGGATAAATACATCTATAGCATTTCCTTCCGCCACAATAAGGAAAAATATATGCTTGCTTCAACAAAGAGCTAGTGTTTAAAATGCTGTCAAGGCCTCAGAATAGCATTATGTTCTTTAAATATTCTGGATGTACTGTAGAGTACCGTAAATATCAAATATTGAAGAAAAACTGCAGTAAACATATACAGGACTGGTATCTGTGGGATAGTATTTTTAATCTTATTGGTTCATTTGTTAGCACAGGGATTACAAAACTAACTCAAAGCTTTACCTCCTGTGAATTATAGTCCCAGTGCTAAAATTGCTTGTGAAACCATTAGGATAAAATAATGCCCAGATAATAATTATAATAAATATCATCATAAAAACAATGTATAAATATATACACACATCTACAGACCTGTACATATACAGATTATATTGGACAACCTTATAATTATTAAGGTAAAGCTGTTATTCTGTCCTTAATTCATCTAGCCATACTGCAACTCTAAACACAATATAAATTCTTATACCTTACATCACAAGGTTAAATGCAATAAGTTAATAGTGGTGTTTCAACCTAAACTCATAGGTCCTTAAATTTTGTTTTTATTTTTCAATTTAAATTACAGCCATATGATATATCTTACATTGTTTTCATTAACAATTTAATATACTTATGGTAAGCACACAAACCATGACATCCATTAATAACAGTTGATGAATAGTACCCTGAAAGTGAGACACACACATTGGACACTGTAGGTCTGATCCTCTTCTCTCTTCATTGTAAATCATTGTAACTCCACTGCACTCAATAAGCCTGGTTCTCTTGTGCAATCATTTTCACTAGTGCAAAGTATGTATAAAAGGACACCATGCTGATTTGGTATCCCATATGCACAGGTGTAAATTATACCAGGTGCATAGAATATCAGGGTTGGAAGAAACCTCAGGAGGTCATCTAGTCCAACCCCCTGCTCAAAGCAGGATGAATCCCCAATTTTTGGCCCAGATCCCGAACAGGTCCCCTCAAGGATTGAACTCAGAACCCTGAGTTTAGCAGGCCAATGCTCAAACCACTGAGCTATCCCTCTCCCCGCAGAGCTAGTCAGAAAACAGAATTTCCATCCAGAGGGAAATTCTGACATTTTGAAATTTGTTTTCATTTCCAGTTGGAATGAAGAGTCAGGATTTCAACAACAAAAAAATTGTGGAACAAAAATTCCTTAAAATTTTGATTTGTCAATATCAAGACAACCTTATCCCACATATTGTTTAGATAATGTTAAAATGTTATAATATATACACATACATATTAAGTATAATTATACATATACTTATATTAAAATTAATATAAAAACCAAAACAAAATAATACATTTGATTTGGAATCATTTCACATTTATTTTTGTCAAATTTTGTCAAAAGTACCATGTTCCAGTAAAACATTTTGATTTTGATGAACATCATTTTCAACAGGGAACTTCCATCGCAAAATTTCCAACCAGCTTTACTGCAAGATCATGAAAAATCAGGCCCAGGGGAGTTACATGAATGTAAAATGGGTGTAAGTTAAATCACAATCATGCTTATGCATACTTTGGTATTTTGGTTGAGGAAATAAGTTCCACCTCTTTACAGTCACTTTTAGACCCTCCATCCCATACAAATCTGCTTCTGGTTTTTATTTTTATAAACTAATCAAGTACATATATATATTGACTGGGGTTTGGAGTTTTCATGGAAAACGGCTTACCCTGCAGGTTGAAAAAGTTACTGACACTGGTTTACAATTCTTTAGTTATGGAAACAGAGACTATTTTGAAGTGATATCTTTTTTGCCTTCCAAACCAATCGGCCTCAATGTAGCCATGGTGCTTTAAGGGGCAAAAGCAACATGATTCAAATTCTCTGTTCAGATATATGGAGCAAGCAGCTCTTGCCATGGGGCAGGAACTGCACTTAAAAACAACCTATTTATATAGTGATGGCTGTTCTCTGTCTGTCATTTGTGCTTGGACTGATGGGGGTGCTATGGCAACAGCAACAGAAAGAAAAAAGGAGGGGGAGGTGTTGTCTAGCAACAAAACAAAAGGTTTGCAAGACATTCAGGACATCAGAATATCTCTAACAGAATAATACATATAATATTTCATTGGCTCTTGCTCATATTTCCCCCTATATATATAAACCTATAAAAATGGGAAAACCGGAAACTAAGAAGGTGAGCGCAAAGAAGGAGACCAGAGAAATTGAGTTAGGCAGAGAGAGAGAGAAGGGGATATTAAGGGCAATTGCAGAAGGGAGACAAATGACTGATACTAAAATGGTGACGATAAATTGATAATGTGATAAGATAAAAAGGACAGAGAAAAATAAAAAACAATGTGGGGAGGGGAGAAAAGCAGAGTCACTGTGGGGTGAGTGAGTTCTAGATGTCTGAGGCCCCCTGGCAAAGCACATATTGCTGCTGTTAATACTCTGCTAGTACCATGACAAAACAGGAACTTCTGGCTCCATGGTTGCCAAAGCAGCACCTTTCATGAGCCCTGCTGACATTTTAGCAACTAAAAAAATGAAGAACAAAGTAGTTTATCAGAAGGTAACGTTTGCTTGTGAGATGCTGGAAATATTAGGGCTGTGCCTGTCACCTG